AGAGGCCATTTCCTCCATCTCTATCTGCCGATACTCAACACTAACGGTCAAATCCTCGGCGCGTAATGCTGATAATGCCTCACGCAATATTACACCTTCTCCAGGGTAAACCAGTTAAATAATCGCTTATAATCGAAAATATGCTGGTGAATTTCAGTAATAATTTGTCTTCCTATTGCATTCACAGTCTAAAGCGGCTGATGATGTTATATTTACTCCGTGAATAAGACGCTTGGAAACTAGATCCAGTGCACTCGAGGAAAACACCACCACCACCACCACCACCACCACCACTATCAGCAGTATACCATGCTTCAGCTACAGTTCATTGCAGCCGATTTGTAATAACTCGCTTTTTTTCGTTAAACGAGCCCCTAGTCAGTCTGCTTGCAATATTTTCTGTCTCCGCCAGATGGCTACTTTGATTTTATACTNATAGCTGGGAACTGGAACGTATGAACGGTGACCGAGTCAATCCGAACTCGTTAGCATCCAAAGTCATCATTGATGGGAACCGAATCCAGTATACAGACATAAGCCCGGTTGCAAACGGATTTCGTGCTCGCTGTATTGTGCACAATGACACTGCGCGATATGTCTCACCCGATTTCGGATTCCGAATACGGGCAACCTCAAAAGGACCTGTGCTTCGACCGGACACGGAACCCGGAGTTCCTAGACAAGTTCCCGGAGGTATGTGAAATCAGTAAATATGTTAGTTCATTTATGGTCTATTGGAGTTTCGCTTATTTTGTAAATCTGTGTTCTCTGAGATTCCCAAAATTTCTTTTCATTCACCGTTGTACATATTGGGTCCAGCTACCTTTCATCATGAAGTTTAATAACTCCGTCTTTCAAAGGTCCCTTCAGTCGCAAACACATTGAACAGGGAAAGTGGTTTGAGAGGACCAAGTGTTAATTCTACCCAAATTTGACCCGACTTTTCAATCAGTTGTTTTGTATTTATTTACACCCATCTGGCTTACGGTTAGGAACACTTTTGACTGCTAACAACTGACCAATGAGCAAGCCCATAAACAGCGTCGAAAACAATTGCAGGAAGTATTTTCGCGACGTTTAGGTCACATCTTATCGTCGTTCGACTCTGAGGATTTAACATAATACGGTTGGCATCACCGCATTGGAAACTCATCTGTGTGTCCAAAGCCTATAAAACATTTTCCCGCCAATCTAATGGTTCTGTCACACTCCTCAATTTACCCATCCAATCACACTTCCTTTAAAGAAATTCCCTCTCTTTTCACGACGCTATTTCTCTCTGTAGTCTTAGGCAGTGCCACTAAAAGTTCTGGTGACAGTTTATTAGTCCATTTTTCATCACTCAATCGTTTCCGAGGAAGCAGCAGTAAATCATACTCCTGTTGCCCGAGCAATTGTTTACGACTCAGCTATCAAGTTGTTCATAAATGTAAGCAACCAAACGATATAGCTGACTGTAAACAATATACTAATGGCCATTTATCACCTGTATTAAAATCTCGCTTTGTGTTCTACTTAAATGAATACTTGAGGAAATAAGATTTTATCATAACATATATATATATATATAAACATGATCTTAAATATCATTTACACGTCTCAGTCAATAGAAAGGTTAGGTGAACTACTAACTTTTAGCAATATCTGCCTTCCATTGAGACTACTTAAACCGTATCCTTCGATCGTATTATGTACCACTCCACATTCGGTCGACTCTGAAAGCAAGAGTGATGCTCAGAAATATTTCATGCTCAGCGATATGTACATAAAATGGTGTGGCCTGTTCTGCCGATCTATATTGCAGCACGAACCAATCGATGCCACTGTTAGCCACTGTTAGTCTCAGGTAACCCCTCTCACCCCTCCCCCACCCCCTCTACCAGTTCACGGAATCGCATCAAGTATTAGCCCAATGGCAGTAACCCTACTTTCACCAGTCAAGCGTGAATGCCCCGGTTGGCATAGCAATGTGATCCACTGTTCCCTTTGATCAAGTGTGCGAATGCGAAGTGTTTAATCAAGGCTGGTAATCCAGGTATTCCGCTCTTATGCCCTTTTTAGACGGCCGCGAAGGTGTCATTCTTGTCGTACACGGTGTAAACAATGCAACTGGTCACATAAGTCTTACCGACGGACAAAATGCGAATCTCACTTGTACAGCCATGGGTAAGTTTGTACATTCTGTTAGAATAAATTAGACCGAATCAGTCACGTGTTTAACGGTTTTCCGAGCATTCGGTTGTCCCCTACTTTGTCGCATACTGTTCAACACGTTTACGCATCATAGGACCGCCTCTCTGGTACAAAGCTGTGTACGATAATGATACAATTCGTCCAATGGCATAAATATCTGTCTGTAACAATTGTACTTTTTGGTCGGTCTACCTTTTTGTTGGCTGGATGACTATATAAGTGATCTGCCATACATAGATCATCGGTTCACCTCTGTGTCTGTTTATATAAACTGAATCAGTGATGATCATACGTTAACTGTCAAGATGTAGAATATCGCCCAAGGTGGAACTTGTTTCAACATGTGAATCCATCCAGCTACATCCTGAATCCTCATGGGCCATTGGTTAGAGAGGGAGAGAAGGAGTTGAACCGGTCAATGTGTACATCATTCGGCACCAGATGCAATCGGAAGAACGCAGATGGTCCTGTTTTTTCGAACTCTGTCAGAAGTTTTGTTTTTTCTACGGTTGAAAATTTGCGCTTCGTGTACGGCAAGTGTTCCGCTACCTGTTTTCAGACGCTGACTTTCGATCTTAATCAAATCGGAAAATCATTTTAATTTTTAAGGGATTTACTTTGTGCATTTATCCCTCTTGATGACTGTTAATGCTGTATGAAATTTGATCTGCATTTCCCCGTGGTATTTTAGATCAGAAATGCCAGACACGCCATCTACTAACACATAGATTGCACTTAGACTTGCCGTCAAGTCACACAGAAATGCCTGGTTGTTTCGCAATTCGACTATACTAACGTTAACAAATTTACAAGAAAGGATTTAGTTTGGGGGGGGGAAATAAAGTGCAGAGAGGTTCTTCCTTTAGTTACCAAAACTGATAAGCGTCTGGAGGGAGACAAAGGGTAGTACCAAATGCGAAACTATCGGAGACCCGTGAACTGTAGCATTATTCACTCCTCTGTAAAATTAGAACCTCACGTCAACGGGACAAATCAAACCTATATCTTCCAGACTTATAATTTTTTTGCTTACAATTGTAAAAGTCAAAAGAATGTGCACGCGTGGACAATCCATTACCATATGCCCAGCGTAAAAACTCTTATTGAGGGAAATCGTTAGGATTATTCATTAGATTCAAACTTGTTCACAATCATGCCACACTTGTGTGGCATACTATCGACAAGGCTTCAAATGCGATCTTAAGAAATTCTCCCTCATCCGTTTTCAACCTTTATCCTCAGTTCGGTCAGCTTTTGCGGCCTCTTGCGTTGATTCCGTCCGTGTTCCATAGGATTATGATCCGGCGACCGAACTGGTCAAGGAATGCAGGGAACATCTTTCTACAGTTTGTGTAACTGGACATCTTGACACCAGCCTGTTCTGACGATAGCAAAATCTCCTTTGTTTTAACCATTCACTTGTGACAATAGGCAGACAATTTCCGGAGAGGCGCTGACATAAAATGCTTTGCAGTTCTGCAGAAACAAAGTTATTGATATGTGAATAATGGTTGTCTGTAAAACACGGATCATTGGACTGATGCATCATAACCTCCGGAAGAGTCATGAAGGTATAAGCTTTTATTCACAATAAATGCACCATTCGAATGGACAATATTTGGTCTACCTAGCACAGGCATTCGTTTTATAATATTGTACAGCATAAGGTAATCCACAAGTATAAAATATTCATTAAGCCACTTTCGCTTATTTTGATCCTTGCCGATCGTTAAGAAAGGGAAAGAAGACGTGGATCCATATTTCAATCGTGGCAATTTTACGCAAACATAATGAGGGGACAGGATCTTCAGAGAAAGCTCTATCTATCTATCCTGGTATATGAAGTTGTTTATACTTCTCAAGGATGTCTATCTTTTCTTTTTAACTAGACCCAGTTACACTAAAAGCATTCCCTGGTGGTGAATTCTACTTTGGCTGGCGTATGACGGGTTTGGATGGCGAGACTGTATCACCAGGCTTGCTAGCCGCAGGTTCGGTGAACTCCTTCGTGTCGGAAGATAAGACAACCGGAATTTTGCTGCTCGAGGATGTCAAACAGTCGGAGCAGGCACCACGGCCGTCTGCACAGATTCAATGTTTGGCCACGCACAGAGCTGACGGTGTGACTTATTATACGAAACCGATTGACTTTGTTGTCTATCCTCCCGGTGTAGACCCGGACCCCGAAGCGGAAAAGAAAGAACGAGGTATGCGATCGTCCGAGTGTTTGCCGGGTTGTGCCTCGATCATGTTAACCTCAAATGATGTCCATCCAAAATCAGAAAAAAGTATTATCATTATTGTCCTGTACTAATAACTAAAGGATTGTGGATATAAGGCACACTTGAAAGTATATAATGTTCAGTAGTGACCGTGAGCTTTGATAGTAAGAGATGATCACCGAAATGTGGGGGAAATTGGAGAGAATCTAACAGAAGTCAGCACTATTAACTGCATGCATAAATAATATTACCGGAAATATGTCTCCCCAATAGAACGACGGTTCATTTGTTCCCTCTAAGTACCCCTTGTTTTGCTAAGGGTGATTCATTTAAACTTTCGCTGTCCAAAACCGCCGTACAATGCAGGGTCAAATTGAATTGGTCAATGGTGAACATGAAAATTCTGATAACCTAAGGATTACACTATCCTCGTAGGGATAATCACCCACTGGTGATGCAACATGGGTCCATTTCACATGCATACACGTGCGCACACATCAGCTGATAAGTGCAAAAACATCAAATCACCTCGGTTGTTGTTTCCCATGGCACATAACCTGTATCAGTCTGGTGAGGAATTATTTAACAATAATCACTGGAACACCCAGAGAGGTACAAACTAATGGGCATAGACACAAAGCAATCTCCTGCAAAGATGCATATGATCTCTCAGTAAACAGTCTCCATGGTCAAAAGACTCTTTGGACTGACTCAACTCGAAGTAACTGATACTACTTCAGTGCAACTATAACCAGCGGTTCCGTATATTTTGAAGCATCGTAAAAGCAGAACAGTTGCCACAGATTGAAGTTGGAAACCTTTTGTGTCTATGGTTGAAATTACCATAATATAGTATAAAAACACTTTCCAGTTTCTTCTAAACTGTCAAGAACACGGAAGCAACAATCAACTCTATTTAAATTGGAAATCCACCTGGACCAGCCAGTGATTGCATAAGTTCATTTGAATAACAACTCTTCAAAATGGTGACACGGTCTACAAATACTGTACTGTGGCGCATAAACGACATGTATATAGATATCCAGATTTATCGTGTAAATGGAAAATGAAAAACGGTTTGATCAGCTGCCCAGTGTCCGAGTGGGTAGAATGCTTGCATTCCGCCTGGGTTTGATCCCCAGTTGGGTCGATGGATTCGCACTGCTGATGGGACCCGACCAGGTCGAAACAGTTGTCCAGTGCTTCCTAGCTTTTCAGTTCACATTTCATTTGCTCTATACACGATTAAACCCCTCTATGAAACTAACCATGCTTGAACTTACCCATAACGGTGAGATGATATCTTCACCATGGTCTGGTAGCGTCTAGAACAATTTTGTCGGTGTTTTACACTAAATTAAGTTGGCAATCGTAGACTTCTTTCGGCAGGTCAATCACCGCATTGCTTCATCCTAAAACCATGTCAAACTACTGACTCTCCACATTTTAGTCTGTTCTCAAAGAACCACCATTACAATTTGGCATTGATTCTATGCGTCCCAGTATGCTGATGGTCTGGGAATATAAAGTTCAAACGGGGAAGTTTTGGAGAAGAAAGAAAGTATGCAAATTCGAACTGCTTTGCAATTTACCTGTCTTGTTCGCGCTAATCTTCAATCTTATTACATAGAGATATGACGCATAGTGCGTCAACATATATGTTTCCTGTTACTTACGTCACCAAGGTACAGTTTTTTGTTTCCTACAAGATGATCTGTCGAACCAGAGTTTGCTGACCGTATGACAGTTGCCTTAGTCTACTTAAGCCATTGCCTGATGTCAAATCCTTGTGAGCTGCGCATCCATAATCAAAGCGCATGCAAACTTAATAACTTCATTTTAAGCGTTTTACCCGCTATAGAAAATTTCTATTCGTTGCCTAATAAACTTGAACTACTTTCTTTTGTTTTCAACTTAAGCGGAACGAAGTCGTATGAACGTTAAAATCCAAGGCTTGGATGACAGGGGTATGCTGTCGGCAACGCAGGGAGCGACGAGAACATTGAAATGCATTGCTACTGGTAAGTAATTATCTTCCTGTTTATATATAAATATATATTTTATTGTCATCGTATATATATCCTGGAAGAAAGAAATCGATCGGAAATCTCAGGGCAGTTCATTAACAGTTTTGTCAAAATCCAGTATGGGTATTTAGTTCATATAGCTTACTGATTTCCCCGGCTTGTACATTGCAGATAGTAGAACAAACCTGCCAGTGAAAGATGATGTGGAAATTGCTTGGGAATTCTCGCGTTTAGACGGAACCTCGGTTGACACGGGAGCACTGCTGGATCCCGAATCCGGATCTATAGAATTAGATGCGAACGAGATCACGCTGGCCGGTTTGAGACAGACCAGCTCTGTACGTGGACGATGTCGTGTCCGGCCACTGGATGAAGAACGAGAGGCGAGTGAAAGTGAACCGAAAACAGCCGAGAGGAAATTTTATTCACCGTATTTCCACTTCGATGTGACCGATCACGGAGAGGCAGGCACAAGAGACTTCACGTCACCCACGGATCCTGGTGAGTACGAACTGATTTCGTGGCATTCGGTGATACGGTCTGCTAGCAATGAGCAAATTGTAACGAAATAGGCACAATCAACTTATCGATCAGTTCACCTGATCACTTTCCTCGCTAATTTATAATCACTCATGAGACAACTGTTAGTTTTTTCTCGCACTTTTAGTTTTCATTTTTTATAGTTCACTCGTTATCGCAAGGTAGAATTCATAAGAAAGTCTGAAGAAAAACAGTTGAACACTTTCTGATCGATCAATATTCAACGAATTTTAACGGTCCAATGAAACTGAATCACCGGTGACTGGTATACGGATGCTATAATCATTTCCACGGTTTTTTTCCATATCCTCTCTGTTATTAATAGTGAATTACACCGACGAAGTTATCCTTTGCTACGTTAATAATGGTTCTGCTTAGTTTAGAAAATTTAATTTTACCTGATCTCAACTGGAGGGTGTTTTCTTCCCTAAATGTTTTTAGTGGTGTTTCAGTCATCCCCCCTGTTTTGAAATGATTGCTTTTCCTGGAATTATAAATCCCTATTTAGTTTCAGTTCTGTCTCTTACCCGAACGTTAAATTTGTTGCCAAGGCTCTGTCTTTATTTTTCTCTAGGCTTTTGTTTATTGTTGCACAATCAACAAGTTTCTGGAAATCTGTTCTGAAACGTAGTTTCTACGTAGTTTCTAGGCTGCATGAGTGTCAATTAAACGTGGATTCCATGCCGAGGAGACTCGAAAAATTCCTAGAGATTAAAAGCAGACCAATCGACTATTAGTGTACACAAACTTTACATCTTACTTATTATCAATGTTAATTCGCTGTCAGTAAAAACTGTTCCATTCTCTTTAGTTACCTCTGAACTCATCATAGTCTAGGTCAACCACTACTGACGAAATGGGAGTATCCGCTACATTCGCTACATCCATCTGCTGAGTATAAACGAATCAGAAAAATCACGTCTATAAAGACTCACTAAGGCATGTTTATTATTATTTAGAAAAAAATTACTTCAGTATAAGTGCTGTTGCCTATACGAACCGACAAGTGTTTCACAGGGACCCGTTGGTTCAGTTTCGATTAGGCCTGTACATTCTTACATAAATATTTGTTTATACAAACGTGGCACTGAAACCCGCTGTCTATAGATCGCACTAGAATGCGAGTATGAACGAGTTCCGGTGTTGTTACACCAAGAAAAGCCATTACGGAGCGGATTACTCGCTAACTCTCAGTTACGCGATTAGTCTGCCTGCAGGTTCCACCCACCCCACCCCCCTATGATGTCAGCTCAAAAGGAGCTGGATAGGTCCTATGAATAAGGTGGTGCAGGGGAGGCGATCTTCATTTGGATTGTCCACGTCCTTGTGGGGATTGCACATGGTGCGTTTTGCAGCGGGGACAGACGTCAGTGTTAGATCGGCAAATATCAAGATCGATTCGACACCAACACCAGCTACACTATAGCAGTCGTGGGTTAACCATCTGTTACAAAAAGGAAAATAATGACAAGACGATGAAAAGATAAACAACAGGACAAAGGATTAACTAAAATTGTGTTGCGCTGTCTATTGAAGCAGTTTACGGTCACTGAGTCTTGCCAGGCAATGACTTTCCGTGGTTCGAACATAATTGTCTGTATCTGCCTCACTCGATCACGGTCTTTAGGCGCGCAAATTAGAGAACGGCAATCACACCAAGGTTACATCGCATTTCATCTCATCTGTAGTGCTCAAGATCGAAGCCACAGACCGTGGGAATTATCATAGTTAAACTTAAATTGCATCAGGAATTACGTGATATATACGTTATACGTTTTATTGAATAGATTTTTATTATACTGAGATATTACTTCCAATATCATCCTTTTGTTATGACCGAAAACTTTGAAATTGTGGAAAAATCCGTGTCTATTGATTCCGTTACTTTTTATAGCATAGAAAAGATTAAATTCGGCATACCATCCAACTAAGCGTGTTTGCAAACCTGGGTACTCATAACCATTCAATCGACAATGCTTTTGCAATCACCGAGGCGGCTGGACTCCGTCGCCAAAACGATTGCCGGGCTTCTCAATGCCACACTCAGTCCACACATACACGCACACACGCACCACGCATCCACATTCTCGCAGTTGTCATAGTTCGATGTTGTGTTCCATTGCATCTCTTGTTTGATTACCACTAAAAGGTGTTGTCCTCAATCCGTCGACGAAACACCGAAGATGCGCTTGGTCGCAAACTTGTGCGCTGCTAGATTGTTTGTGTTGGGTAATCTATTCCATGGACATACAGGTGTAGATTCCTTGAATCACTGTACCTTTTCGACTTCAAGTGAATCCAACCAATCGCATTCTACTAATAACTCTACAAAGTGATTGGCGCTTCGGTCGTCACATATCACCGATTGGATCGGGTCTATCACAATTCCATTCACTCAGGATGATCTGATCTCTCCACTAACAACCAGGGATCGTTTTGAGTGAGTTTGAAATTTTCGGTGGGGTTGGGTTTGACATTTCGTCCTCCAAACCTCTAACAACATGACCTTGACCGTTGATCGAGTGAGCCTTAGACGAGAATCAGTCAAACCGACTTGAGTGACCTCAGTCGATCGGGTAAGGAAGCGAGTCACGTTAAGATGGATCGATTAATCGGTCTCTATGATCAGATGTGAATGTTGAAATGATTAATTGCACGAGTGGTTTCAATCTAGGCCCTCAATGGCCTTGTAAAGTAAAATAAATTCCATCGAGCCAGAGGTTCCCTCAAGTTACATCGATGCTTTGGGGCCAAATGCGATTGCCTGCCTATTTCTGGCACTGGAAAGCATACTTGACACGATTCTTAACAATGGTACAGACGGATTGAAAGAATTAGCTGTGTTTCACTTGAACAGCAAGGACAAATCTGAACTCATTCCCCAGCCAACAGAAATCGCATTTTGTCACTGTAAGTACGGGGTTGACTGCTGCATTCTACCTAGGATTCTATTCATAATAACCTGTCATTTATACAGTTCCTCCCTTTGTAACTCAGCTTTGTTGCATAGGTTCTTATCATGCATATACAATTCATCATCCTCGTCGTATCTTTTCATAGATTATATCTGTGCTATCCTTATAGGTCAATGAGTGAGAAAATTGGTGAAGGGAGAAACACACTGTTATTCATTATTCTACAAATAATGATAACTTTGTACCGAATGCTTTATGTGGTATTAAGTTGAGGTACGTACATGATTCAACCGACGGTTACAAGTGGATAACTATGGGAAACCTTGTAGTCTACCTGAGAGAGCGTGAAGAGATGGGGGGGGGGGGGGNCAACCACCTCCATTTTTTGCGAAAGCATTCCCGATTGAATGGTCGTGAGAATGCTCATTGGCAAGCGAGCTTGTTTTCGCTGTTATGTTAACTGGCCCAACATATACTATAGATTAAACTGGTGCTGAGAAGAGACAATTAAGAAAGAACGCTGATCTTTTTATGGCGGCGGTTGGTGAAATAGAAAACGAGAACGAAAGAGCAGAAAGCCTCAAGTACATGGACAATGCTGATGCAGTACTGACTTTGTCGACCACGTAAAACACCCAAGTCACGGTAACCTTGGTTTGATGTCAGGTATTTGAGAGTTTTTGAAGAAAGTTGATCAGGTGAGTTTTGTGCATTTCCTAATACGCACCGAACGGGTTCACTGCGAACAAGTTGATAAATGTTGGCTGTGTGAAGTCCTGATGGATTTGTTTCTAAAGACCGAAACAAAACTGACACAGTTGACTGGACGCTGTTCCTGAAGAGTAGAGGATATCTGTTTTTCCGGTATTCAGTCCGTTGTTATATCAAAACTGATACAGTGCTCTGGGTGTATGAAACGTGATTCCCAGTTGCTGGTTTGTGTTCGCGAAAACCAAGGTGACCTGTTTGCCCCTTTTCCTTTGAACTTTCTGTTCAGAAACCGGTGAAAAGTTGTGGGATGTTGAAGTCAAGGTCAGTGGATTGGACGAAAATGGTCACTTGACAGGTTCTCCGGGTGATGATGCGGAAATCTATTGCAAGGCATTCAGTGAGTTCCGAAAGTTTGGGAGCTTCCTCTTAAGCTGTAAACCATTTTTGTAAGTTTCATTGAAGAAACGTACGGCTATGATGAGCGTAAACCTGGCAAGACGAAGAGACATACCACAATTAATGAAGATGAGGTGACTTAGTGGAGAGAACTTCATTTGAAATTGGTAAATATCGAATCACGATTCAGTGTACAGTTATGTGCCAAACAGTCAGCCTAACCCAAAAGAGAGTGATTCTTAGAGTGTTGAACTAATTCCATAAATATGATGGGCGTATTCCTTTAAAAGTGGTCAACGAAAGAGAAACTCACAACGGAATTCTCAGTGTGTAACAGTTATTTTCCCATACTCATCTGAGTTTTTCTATCATATGATAATCTTCCTTGAATCCTTTCAGATATGACCTCAGAAGATCCAATCACAGAACAGTCAAAACACTATACAGTACATTACGGTTGGGAATTCCAGCGTCTGAACGGCCAACCTGCTACAGCTCAAGATGTTGCTCATGACATGAAAATTGACTCAAAGAGTAGCACACTGAAATTGATCGATCTGCGAACACAGACAGCGGCTAACCGAACACAGGCCAGGTGTGTGGTAGAGTTTATCCGGAAACCGATAGATGAACCATTTGCGATGCCGATCAAAAAAGGTATTCGTATGGCTAGCAAATTCTTCGTGATCAACGTTCCACCGAGTGATGAAGTGGTCTCGGAAGACTTTGATCGTAAGTGATAAGAAACGTTTGTCGTTGTTTTGTGTGTCAGTATGTGTGTGCGTGTTTGCACGCTAGCGCATCACAAAGGCACTGAAACCGGAGACTGATGAATGTGCTAGGCAAACAATGTGAATTGTGCTGAACTATTTCTTTCACTACTTTTATATTACCATTTATTATAATAATAATAATTATTTTCAATTTAATCGCCTACGTGTACTCGAGCAGGTTTATTAACCAACCAGATTTCAGCGTTCATTTACTCCTTTGGTAAACGCAGGGGACAACCGTAGATTATGATACTTGATGAACGATTAACCATCGTTTCTTCGTATCCCTCTCTCAATCACATCTGATCACAGCCGATCGCTCCCGATATGAACTGACTGTGCGCGGACTGAACGACTTCGGTGCGTTACCGCTGCGTCAAGGTCAGCCTGTCAAACTGGAATGTGTTGTACGAGGTGAGCGGAGAGAGAGGACAATTTTACTTCCCATGCTCTTGGAAATGATGTATATTTTTACCGTTAGTGAATCCAGCCAATCATTACACAGATTTGATGCCAAACGTGAACTTCATTCTGGATTTTTGACAAAATCAAAGGCAATTTCTTTTGTGCCACATCCACGTCTCTATATCCGACATAATGTTCGGGTGAGAGAAGAAGATGGTGTTGATCTCACGATCAGCAAAAGCCGTTGACACCACAAGGTTTATTGTCGTACTCGCTTTCGACATTTACCATTATGTTTCCCACCCCATGTGATGGAGATAAAAAATCATTCAGCCAACCATTCTCATCACATTGTGACGAAAGGATATTATAGATTAGGTGGGATGGGTGTCAAGTTGAAGCGTAGCTTAATGGGAACCCTTTCAAAAGAAAGCTCTATTGTTCCCCGAACAATTAAGGACTCGATGGGTTATTATTCCGCGTTTTCTGCTCATTGGAATTTTAAGTCACTTCCCTCCTCTGTTAGCACATTTAAGTCAAACCACGAATATTGGCATGTCATTCGTCCAGCTACCCCGTTTGTTGAATGTATTTCCTAGGTCTAACCACCACCATGGTCACTGAATCCTTGTGATCAATAGGATGCGATGACCCTGGATCAATTAAAGCACACCAGGAGAGGAGTTTTTCTCTCTCTATGGACGTTCATGCAAGAACCACTGTTCATACAGCAACGTTTTAGCTGAGGTGACCCCCCCCCCTTTATGAGCTGTTGCCCAAATGCTAGCACGTGAAAAATCTGCTCTCGCACACTTCTGGATTGATAATTAGCCCACAAATTTCAGCCGTCCTACACCTGGGCAATGAAACCCCATGATTGGTAGAAACTGATTAACAAGGACACGTATGAACAGATTTGGTGCGGAGGCTGAAAGCCATTTAAATCAATAAATGCTCAATCAGAGTTCATAAAGGTAGAGAGGTAAGTGATCTTGAAAGAATCGTAAGTAGAAGGGACTTACTCAGGTCTTCACACCAAGAATACTTTCGTGCGTGAAATGCGACAGAGATGTGAGGTCACAAGAAAGGTCATGGTAAAGCCATCTGGGATTTTACCTCTTTAAAAGCGTCTGAGTTTTTGAGACAATGCGTTTTTTTTCCTCATACGGCGATCAGAGCATATGGACTGTCATGAATTTCCAAACCACGTCCGTATAATCACTCATTTAATCCGGTTAAGCAAACTCAAATGAAAGACTCCACATGTTGTCAGCCTAAATTCATTTTCTCTGGACTCAAAAATAGATTTGTCCGTTGTTAGGTGGAATTCAACCAGCATAGACGTATCACTTCATCTAATTCTGTTAAATGCAAAGCACAATTTTGTAAACATGCATTTCCTCCGATCCCATTCCAGCTAAATTTTCAAAAGTACTGCGCAATCACTTTGGATTTGTTCCCAGCAGATTGAAGAATAGTAAACATATTTGATGTTTGTCTAATTTGTGGGTGTGATCGACCGAGAAAGAGGAAGATCTCACGGTCTGACTTTCGTTTGTGGAACAGTTATACGACAACAATAATGTCCGACTGAAGGTAACGTATAAGCGGTATACAGAAATTACCGTTGGTATGAGCCTTCTCCTGAAATGAATTGGTGCCATTCAGACTGCTTACCGAGACACAGTATTGTCTTAATCCAACTGATGTCTATTTGCCAAATTGTTTTTCTTTGTACAGA